CCTTTTTTTTGTTTTGTTATGCTTTCATTATACTTTCATTATCAATTTGTAAGTGTTAACATATACATATGTGTAAACACGCGTGTATATTGTGTCTAGATACTCTACGTGTGCGTAATTAGTTTGATCTCAAAATTTCTTTGAATACCTAATTTTGACCCGATCAGGGTTACTTACTTTTTCATTTTTTAATTACTATTTTCGCGAAAAAATATGTGTGCTTTTAATAATTTTGATAATCATTTACGTATAAAAAATGCTTAATTTTAGTTTTTAATTTATTAAAACTCAGTTTAAAAAACTTGATATATCTTCGTGTATCTTTTTCGAGATTACTGTGAAAATATATATTTTTTTTTTTTCCTACACAAGCAAAAAAAAAACAAAACAGTAAGTTAGAAGATGAAATAGTGCCACAACCAGTACTACGAATAAAAATTTTAAATAAGATCGGTACATAACATTTTAAGGAAGCTGTGTGACCATTAATTAACGTCGGCATCTTTGTTCATGAAAAAAACCATTTCCGTGTGTAGGAAATGCAATTATAACCTGCAATTTTTTTCCTCTTTTATAATATTAGCATTATTCAGACTAGATAAATTTATACATTTACGCACAGGTTTCTTGTCAAGTGGATTTAAATAATTCGCCATATACGGGTTTTTCCCTTCATTTCGTGACCGAATTCTCGAAAGCGCGAATTCTTAAGTAACACTCAACCACCTAGTTTTCTAAGTCGATCAAATGTTGCAGTATACTTGCCGACAAATTTGAGCTGGTGGAATCAACATGGGTTTAAAAAGTTTATCGAACCGTATTCGACGTATGCACGATTTGACCAAACTTGGGCTCGAATAGTTTTTTTTAACACTTTGCGTTGAAATTTTTTTCAATGCATTATTTTTTTTTTTTCTACAATTTCTTTTTATCGCTTCTTACCAAAGTACTCAACAAATTTTTTTATAACGCATCATTTTTAGAACAAGAAAATCGTCAAAGTCCTTAAAAAAAGCATTCTGGTTGGTATAAACTATTTTAAGATTAATTTTTATCTTGAAAATTTTTTATCGCGTGCTCGATTAAAAACAGTGTTTTATAACTTTGTTTAAATAATGATGCTCAATCTTCGTTAGGACGCATAATGTATAATCACGATTATTCTCGTGCAAGAAAACATAATTTTCGATTAATTCGTAATTTCTAGTCATTGACCTCGATTCGTACGGAGTAACCCAATTCTTTTAATCAAAGAAATATAAGTTTATTAAAAATAGCGTTAAACTCGTTTCTCGTGTCTATTTTTCGTGCTGATCGACAGGTTGTAACCCTTGTTTTTAAACAGTAAAAAATCAGTTTGCCGAAAACAAGAAAATTATTTTGGATGGAAGTTTCGTTTGCACACAGAATTACGAATTTATCTGGAAAACCGAGAAATTGGCTGGCGATGTGACAGTACGTCAGTCGAGGAAGTTTAAATTCCACCAGGGACATCCTTGATGCAGTAATGATTGAAGGATTTTAATGTCGCTTTTTGATTTACTAAAATCATAATTTTCTCGTAGATTCCATCTACGTTGTTCTAGCTTGATTACTACTTTTACCTTGCACTCGGGTAATTATTATTTTTTATCCCAGTAACTTATGGCAACAGGAAAATTTTTTTGAGCTCAACAATTTGGCTGATAAGGTCCCTTGAATAAGGCAAAAAACAATAAATATTATTTTTCAAATTCGTTTAACTTGTATTTGTCTTGTGTTGAATAATCAAAGCGTAGAACATATATAAAAGAAGTTATATAATTATACGCCTTTAATAATACTAAATAGTGGGTAACAATTTTTTATCTTACATATGATAAATAACATCTGATGTCACTGAACTGTTTGCTTATAACAAACGTACACCATTGCAGACCACTGCTATTATCAAACTTACAGATGGTAAACAGTATGGATTATTTATAAAGGTGTATTATAATATTTGTTTTTTTTTTTTTTAACTTTTGAGCTATAATTTTTATGTAAAATTAAATTAAATGGTGTATCTATGGTATTAGGTATATACTTGACCTCTAACTTCATCGTCTAAAAATTGAGTAGAAACAGACGGATAAGGTAAGACGAACCATCGACCAGGAGCGAAATGTTTTTTGAAGTTATCTCATCTAGTTCGTGTTTAAAATCAATGATTTTCAATTTTCAAGAACTAAATAAAAAAAAGAAACGTTTTCACTGCATCGTATTTTTATCCGTAAAAAAAAAAAAGAAATCTATTGGTTAATTTAAAAGTGTAAGTTAAAAATCAATTACAAGATTCTGACCCACCGCCAACAGACAGAAAAGCTGTAGTTGAATGTAAGCATGTAAAAAAATGCTAAAAAGGATTAAGGCATCTTTCAACGAGTAAACTCTACAAAATGCACTTGAAAAAAAAAAAAAAAAAATTGATCGCGAAACAAAACTTTCTTCTTTTTACCCAACGCGAGTTACATAAATAACCTTTGGCCGGATTGAGTGATGCTGCGCAATATCCCTCAATGGGTACTTTTTTTTTTTCAAATAACCATTAAATTGTTTTTCCAAATAATTTGCCGTGCGTGTGCGCGCACCGCAGTAACTCGATTCAATACAATCGAGTTGCGCAAACATCGGCGTGATAAGGTATACCCACGCTCGTTCTAGGCCTTTTTTTCATAATGGATTTCTCCTCGAATGCCCGGGCACGCTAATCGTTTAATCAATACAATTTATTCGGCAATGATTTTTTACGCAATTTTTTCTAGTAGTTTTCTACTTTTTCCTAGTTTTCATCCACGATTTCTCAACCCCAAAAGTGACAAAAAAAAAAAAAAAAAAAAAAAAAAAAAAAAAAAAAAAAAAATTCATTATTTCTCAACCGCATCGGTATCAAAAACATGAGCAACATAACAAAAACAAAAAAAAAACAACAATCATCGTACCGCATTCCTCAGCCCAGCGCAGAAAGTAAAAGCCTTAAGTCCCCCAACTGCGGAGCATCGCGAGAGCTTTCGCAACGGCGCGGATTTTTCCGGGAGGCTCGCGTGCACAGCTCTGTACACACAAAGTCACAATCGAGCGGAAAAAAGCGCGCTCGCGTCCACTGCGCGTGTCCCCCCCAGGTATGTCCTTGGGTATATATATATATATATATGTGCGTCTTAGATTTTGGTTTTAGAAAGTATCCGCACGAAATTTTCGAGCCACAGCAGTAGCGCGTGTGGCTGCTCACGCGATCTTTCTGATTTCTTTTTTTCCGCTTCGTTTTCCTCCCCGAGGTTTTTCCTCGTGACGGAGCGAGCGTGGGGTTATATGTATGGTGCTCTGACTCAGTTCTGCCAGGTTGGACCAAGTACCGATTTTTATTGGATGCAGGTGAATGTGGGTTCTCCGCGGCGGGTGCTACGGTTTATGCACATGTGCTTTTGTATACCATTGTGTGTATAAATCAACAGAATGTGCACAGTTAATCGGAAAAACGTTATTTACGGTTGGAAAAGGCGAACAATTTTGAATGAAGCTATATAATCCATTTGTCACGTGATTTTTTTAAACTGTGACTGTATGCAAATATTCCTAGCGGAAGCTTTAAAATTAAAAAGGGTTTGTTGTTTGTGGTTGCTTGAGATGACAATATTTATATGTTTTACGCGCAAACATATTTTGAAACGATTGACATTTCAATAGCTAGTTAATTATCTTTCAAAATTTAAAGTAGCGATAAATACACAACTTTTTCAAAATAATACATGTACACTGTAAATAGTGAATATACACTATTTCTACCAAGTTAACGCTTCACTAGTTTTTCGATTATTTGATAAACCGATTTTTATTACCACTTGAAATAAGGTGTGCAGATTGTACAATTATCTTCATTAAGATCGAGATGGTTAATTGGATTACTGATAAATAATTAGAATTAAAATTTATATCGATTGGGTGCGAACAAGTGACCCTAATTTTTCAATATTTCGACAGTGAAAATCTTGTTCACTTACGCAAATAGTGAAATTGTCATTTTTTTTAAATTTAGAAGGATATAATCATTTTTGATACGCGTAAAAATACGTACAAGTCGTGATTACACAGTTTCGGCTTTCATGAAAAATGTTACCCTTGACCAATGAACTATTTTTTGTTTTTCCCTCACTTGTGATCCTGCCTGGGTGTGCATTTGTGAGATGAGGAAAAAAACTATGAAAATAGTATGAGAAAAAATCGCGAAAAAAGTATACGCCAAAACTGTCGGGCTCTACGGTGCTTTGCTCCATTAAAATAGCGCATGTACAATCCCTTGAACGGTATAATTTCGGCAAGTTCAACATGTGCGAATCATCAAACCAACGAACACTTTAGGTTGTCATGAAAATGAAAAAAAATAAAAAATGGACAAAATTTTGCCAACATAAATTTTCAGGTCCTCCTAATCGTTCAAGTTCACCTTGATGCACCTCGACTCGCGAATATAACCCCTCACATAGACCATGAAGGATTTACCATCCCAATTTACACGATTTTGTCCTTTACCGATACATATACCAGTCGTCCACGATGGCTCGCGGAAAATCGTCATTACAGGTTGCATAACGTGATGCCACTTCGTCGAATTTTTTTTTGCCGAGCCGCACATTGGTTTTGCTAATTGGCCGCGAAGCGATGACCTGTAATCACGACAATCGGCCGATACTATAATCAAGTGTGATTACGGAGTGCCCACACGCCAGTGTGGTGTAGCGCACATGGAAAACATTGACGAATGCGTGCCTTTTTTTGTCTCGACCCGCGGGTAATGTCCGTCGCGAGAAATGATGACGCGATTCGTGGTATATGTATACTCCCCCCCCAAAAAAAGACAGTTTCCATCGCGTATGGATGAAACAATCGAAGATGGAATTTGTCATTGTAACAAACGGTAAAGGAGAAACGAAATTTGATTGACAGAGGTCCGTTTGAGGGAGAGAAAGGGGGGCTGCGGAATGGCGTCCGAGAGCTTCGAGGAGGCGCCCGACAGGATAGCGGCGACGCTTAACGGCCGTGACGTCCTGTTGACCGGGGGCACGGGCTTCTTGGGCAAAGTCTTTGTGGAAAAGTTCCTGCGCCTCCTGCCCGACATCAACCAGCTGTATCTGCTCGTCAGGGCGAAGAAGGGCAAGGACCCGAAGCACAGGCTCGACGACATATTCAATTCCGCGGTGAGTTTGGCCATTTTTTTTTTTTTTTCATGTCTTTGGAAAAGCTTGTATTTTCAGTTTAGAATTTTCTAATGAAAGGAGTTGCGTTGCTGCACTGGTACAAACTACCACACGGAGTAAAAAAAAATTGGTTGAGCATTGCACAACTGAATTTATTGGTCGATCCAACCATAAAATATGACTGCTGTATAACCAACTCATATTTGTTCAACTGTGAAAGTAGTCAGAGCAACCATTCAACTATCACTAACTATTTTTTATAGCTAGGCTGACCAAATTTTTTTCCCCGTGCCTACAATATGCTGTATATTTTTCTGCGGTGCGATCGTTGTACTTTGCGCCTTTCAAGTTGTAGATTTTGTCACTTCTTCTCGACGGCGACCACTATATACACTCTAGGTCGCTTGGTTTTAACGCTCGACTTTGACTTTTATGCTATTTTAACGGAAGATTCTAAACACAAAAGGGCCTCGATTATCAAGAGTTTCGCTTCAGCTTTCATTAACACCCGGGCTGCTTATATTTTAATCAAACAAATAAGAGGTTTGCGAAAAAATTACTGAGAACTACATTTTTTCATAGTGCCAGTCGAAAAATCCTCGAAAATATTTTAATAATCCTTGATTTTGATCAGAGTAAAGAATGTGAAGAATATTTTTTTTAAACTAAAAAAAAGTCCATACCTATAAAAATCTGTAAAAAAACAAAATTATCCTGCACCAAGAGTGTGTTTCCAAAAACATTGTTGCTCAGAATTGAAAATTGCTCGTAAAAATGTTCACGCGCGTGAGAGAGAGAGAGAAAAAAGCCACGGGCTCGAGTTGTTTCTTATTTCAAAACGCGTGTTAGCACGTCATTGTAATGGATAAACACATGCGTTACGTTTATGCATTCACAAGTTTAAACTTTCACAATGGGACTGGTGGCTTGTACATTACGAATTATCACGAGTACTTGCCGAGAATGAGAATACCAACAGCTTTGTTACGGTGACGGAAGTTGATAAAAATTTCGAACACGAACAGAGTTTCGGGTGCTTCCCTTTTTTGTTTTTTTTTATAACTTTTCTTGCGAGTAATACGCCTATTTCGTGGTAAGATACGTCATGCATGTATCTAAATTTGTAATTTTCACGGTAACGCGTTTATAGTCGGTACAAGGATGCTTCATCCCAACGAGTTTTATTAAGCTGCCCGTGTGGTTGACCGCGAAGCGCGTTGTTTGCGCGTAAAGATTTCGTATGAGTTTTCTCTTTCTTGATTTATCGCGCGACAAAATGTGCATCGCTTGCAGTCTACGAGTATTTTTTTCCCCTATACAAACAAGGAAAATTCTATCGAATTTATTTATTTTTTTTTTAATGAGACGACGATTCCGCCGTGTGCAAGCATCGAAGGGACTGTTTACGCCGTACATGAGACGTCCCGCGTTTTGCAACGTTTGACAGGCCGATGTGCTCGCGCTCAAGTAGTTAAAGTTTTATAAAGATTCGGCGTGCCGTTCTCCAGATATTTAACTTTAACTTCGCGTGTTTCAACACGGCAGCCATAATAAGAGATTTATTTTCAGATACCTACTTCGATAAAATCGATTATTTTTTCACGAGGATTGCAATGAACGAATTTAATATGAAAAATATCATCATAATAAGTGTATCAGAAAATCAGAAACATAACACGTGCTGTTTAAAAGATATACTTGTTTTCAAAAAAAATATATATATTTTAAGTACAAGATATTAATTGTAATCGTATTTTATTAAAATTAATAAATGTATTCGACTCAGTGCTGCTGTATACAAAATTTGTTAGAATATTTTGAAATTTTAGGTAATGCTAGTTAACAATGATTATTAGAGAAATCAACAATTAATTGGTCCAAACTACCTTGAGTTAGGGTATGTTTTCCAATCAAGGCTACTCACCTATGCTATCGCATAGCCTTGATTAATTTTTAATTTGTGTGGAAATTTTCTTGAACATTAACGAGTTTATACTAATCGTATGAATAAAGAAAATAATTTTTTTAACGTTCAATGTGCCGAGTGCCCGATTCTTGTATACCGCAAAATACCCCTTTGCTGTGCACGAAAAAGCTATAAACATTAAAATTACAGCACTCCAAAAGTGAAAAATAGATTACTGTATGTAATAGTGGCCTTTTTTCACTAGTGTCCGTTACATTTGGGTGTAATTACCCATACGAATTTGCAAATTTATCCAGTTATTTTCAGTCACACGAATGGCAAGAAATATAAACTATAGTCTCACAACAGTACCATGTAGTACATAAAAGTAAGTGCTTTTCCAGACGAACTCGCCCATACGTTAACCTGCATGAAAAGCCTATGAACCATTTCGGCTGACCGTTACGGTTCGTTCCGGTAGACAAGCATACCTAATCGATACGCTCTTCACGTTTCCTTTGACAAAACCGCGAGAACCCGCTCGGGTTTACGCGCAGTAAGTGCTTATACTCCCGGGATAATTGCGAGTTTGTTTGTGTATAATATGCAGCTAAAGAGTGTCGAAAGCAGTTGGCTCTGTAATACTTGTGAATGGACGATTCGACGCGAATATGTACGTAGCGATGGGGGAAGGGAGAAACGCAGCACGTGCGCAAGCCTCCTTTCCAAACCGATCCTATCGGCCGTTCAGGCTGGCGAAGCTCTGCACTCTTGGCGTGTATCCTATTTTTTATTTTATTTATTTTTTTCCACGATACCGGTTTTTACACTTTCCTTTTTTTTTTGTTTTTCTAATTTATATCCTCGGCCTGATGGAGTACTTCATCGATTGTGCAACCGCGGCTTTTTTGTCCCGCTGTGTTGCACACCAGGTGCGTCAGCCGTGGCATTGCGGTTGACATTTTTTAATTTGCCAAGGTCCTTTTTTACTGTACGTTGTTGCGCCTACTTGAGATTTTCGGCCGTGTTTGCTTGATGACTTTTCAAAGTGTTGTATTGAGGAAAAATAAATAAAATATTCGTCGCCGAGGCAGCTCCACGCACTGAGAGAAAAAAAATGATAAAAACTGTAGAGAAATTCCAGAAAAAATCGCCATTTTGCACAGTAAATCGGAGGCTAGTGGGCGAAAATTATTATTATTTTTTATCATAGTAAAGGTTATTGTTTTTACAGTTAAAATTGTAGTTTGAATAATGAAAATTGTGGTTAGAACAATAAAAATTACCATAATGGAATAGTCAACCTTAAAAAGATCGGTTGATAAAATTTACCATCCCACATCGAAATTTTTACTGTTCTAACCATAGTTTTAACTGTTACAACAATAATTTTTACTATTAAAAATAATAAACTTTTCCCTTTTTTGCCAGCTTGCATTCGATTTACTGTGTAGAATGGTAATTTTTGCTGGAACTATCAATACCTATATGTTTGTTGAACTGCAGTAGTGCGAGGAAAGAATTGAAAATTAAACTACTGAATTTTATTGATCTTCAAGAAAAAGACTTTTAAAACACGCAGAGCCAAAATTATAATCGAATTTGACGTCACAAGTATATATGGCTATTATCGAGAAACTTATGACATCATGTGATTAATATAATTTACTCACTGCATTTAGGTATGTTTCTTTTAAAAAATGAAAAAATCATATAGTGAATTGAGTATTAAGCCAAACTAAGTATTGCTTAATATTTAAAATCGCTGTTGCTCGAGGTATGAAACTGCCATCTAGAAATAGCTTCCTGAAAAAAATGTCTCATCTCGAATTTATTAAGAAAAGAGAACTGTTAAAAAAAAATTATTGGAAACTTACACTCCTTTGCTATTGTTAAAGAGAAAACAAAAGTATAATCATAAATTATTTTCTAAATCCGTTTAGTTTGCAATGTACAAAATAATATATAAAGCTTTTAATTACATTATCTTAGACGGAATTTGGAAACTGCTTAAAAGGTCCTGAATAACATGATTTTTCCTTAAAATATTTGAGGTATCATTTTTTCAAAAAGTTAAAAAATCTTTTTTCTGACTAAAATTGGGAAATTCAATAATGTATTCATATGACACAACATTTATTTTCATGAAAACAATTATCATTGTAAAATCGTCTTGTCAATTCAAATTAATAAGTAGTTGAGGGACCAAATTGAATTTTGTCATGTCTACGTGGTCTTTTGGACAATTTTCCAAACATTTTTAAAGGTCACTTCTAAAAGAATCATATACAAATGACAATTATATTGTTGCAGACATAGGCTTTAAATGGGACGTATAACTCAATTTTGTTGTTTACATTTGGAAAATGTGAAAATACTGAAAAAAACAACTTACCTACAAACGAATTATTATTTTAAGACTTAAGTTATATTATAGTGCATGTTCATCGATTCCCACATTAAACCAAGCAAAATGTCATGTTTGTAGGATGCAGGTGGGGGTGCGCGATAAAGGGGGGGGGGTCAGCGAAGGTACGGCTGCTCAAGTGGGTCACGGGTTCGAATCCCAGTCGGTGCAATTCTTGGAAAAGGTTTTTTCAAGAGTTGTTTCCGGTCGATATTCGTTCCCAAGCCTTGCGGCTGATCCTACGCCAGGCCACAGAGTGACGTGGGGGTCACACTCACGGACACCCTTGGTATTATAGGTGCAGGACCAGTTGGGGAAGTGAGGGGTCGTGGGGATGGAAAGAGGGAGAGACGTTACCTTGAGGCGACCCAGAGATAGGCTCTGTAGGCCTTTTGAATGGGTGCGGACCTCGGAGGAAAAATTAAAAGGACTAGGGGTGGAAAAGAGGGGCAATAAAAGGAGTTAAATAGGAAAAAGAGGGGGTTGAGGATTACGACGTAGATGGGTACTGGGGACTTTGGGGGCTCGGGACTTGGTACTTCAACACAACGTATAAAAACTAAGACCGAACACAAGAGGATTGTAAACACCCCGCGCGTCCTCTCCCTCGAATGAAAAATATTGGGTACTACGAACCAATAAGCTGTGAGAAGTTGGGGGCCAATGTTTTTTTGTAAGTTTAAAATATAAGTAAGAAAAAAATAGATTCTTTTTTGTTGTGAAAGGCAGCTGTTGGGGGTTACAGGGGGTTTTAGGTGATGGGGAGTTTTTATGGAGAGGTCATACATGTTTTGGATAAAAAATCAAACTGTTCTTACTTTGCTGTTTCAAACTCTAAAACCAATCAAGTATGCTGGTTATTTTCATTTACACGATTAAGCAGAAAGCTAAATAATATTGAAATGGAAATCTGTAAATCTTCAATCAAGTAAAATCAAAGACGCCCTTTTTATATATTTTCACTTCACTGCCAAAAATCACAGCAAATCGCAGAAATTAAAACCTTAAAGAATTTTCTTTAGTGCCACTGGAAACACATACAAAAAAAAAAAAAAATCGGCCGCTCGGTAAGCTCTAGTCCACTTTTTCTAATTTCTTATAGTTGAAATTATTGCAAAAACTTGTCAGACAATGTGTTATCAATCCGCTTCTCTTTGTTAATTATTAAAATGGCCGAAAACACTATTTAAAACAATCGATACTGAGGTGGTCATTCGACCAGTTACAGTTTCATCGATTGTGAGAGCCGCAGCGAACGAGAACAGTCCACGTCGTGCAATAAACACAGGCACGTTTGTACGCATGTATATATACATATACGTATTATGACATAACACGTTACAGGTAGAGTATAATATACCCGCCACTGCTTCTTAAATAACTTTCACTGCGCTCGGCTGCAACTGCCGCTACAACCACGCGCTACAGAAGAACACTTTGCGGGCATAAAACGTGCGCTGCTCAGTTGCCCGATAATGCTTACGGCGCTTTTTCGCCGAGAGAAAAGGAAGGCCTTGGCTCCGTTTCGTCTTATGTATATATACGTACATTCACCTACACACCGACGCGCTCAACGTCTACCTGTTTGACTCCTTCGGACAACTCCTGAGAGTCCTTCCTTCTTTCTCTCGTTCTCGGCTTCGCCTTACGAGCAGTTCCACGTTTCATGTGAACCTCAGGAGTCCCCGAGTGGAGTTAGAGGCACACCTATACGGTTGGT